CGTAGCGTGTTGCAGAGTGATTGACATGGCGTTCTTTGAAATGACGAGTGACATTTTGTCAGTAAACCCAAGAGGCAGAAATCCCAGACGTAATCGTGTCATTGTGGGATAAACCCTCTCCGCGGTCAAATTCGCTGAGAATATGCCTGCAGTCCCGATTTAAATGTGTCCACCAAGCAGGCATTGTTAGCAAAAGCCAGGACAATCAATTTTTAGCTCTTCCGTATGGACGTACAACAGACTGGAAGTCGATTGGTATGGACCGTCCCTCTCAAGACGAAAACAGTTGCATCTTCATTCATTGGTTCATATTACTTATGATTCGCCGGACGATTACTAGTTTATTCCTTAACTTACGGCCTAAGTATCTGGAATCACGGGCGTCGCTGGAAGGGGGGTGTGTGTGGGGGGGTGTACACCCCCATTGTTAAGTTTAGTCGGCAAAATCATGGTCTCTCGGCAAAATAACAAAACAAAGAACGAAGAATAAAGATGAAAGGAAGGGAGAAACAGTACACTCGTTTTGCGTGACGGGCCATCGGCAAATTTCATTCGGCACCCCCCCCCCACTCAAAAAGGTCAAGTTTACCATATAAGGCACCGGTGACTGTTTATATATCTGTGTTATATTTTTTTACCTTATTTTTGTGTTCAGATATCTAAAATGTGTCCCGATCTTGTTACATTTTTGTAATTGGTTGCACTGTACAGTGTGATCTGGACTTTTCGTGCATCTCACAGCCTGGGGCGGAATTCGCTCACTGGTCTCTCAGCTGATCGGCTGTCCTGTGCCTGATCTATTTTGTTTTTCAAACTTGGCATGTATGTATAAAGTACATTTATGGTTGTAAGCATTTCAATTCAGTCCTTGTTGGCTCACGTGCACTAAACACATTCTAAACATTTTGCGGCGACCTGTAACGGGACTTTGTTAGAACAGCATCATCTGGTTTTCACCAAATTGGTGTCAAATGATAGCAAGACTTAACTGGAAAACACTCCGGAAGGCTCGTCGCTAGACACATGCACTGCGGCGAAATTGGAGGATACGTCGGAGCGTATTTCGACCCGGCTCATGTATGGTTGAAAAGGAAACCTAAGTTGCTTGAAATGTTACACAAGAGGCATATTTACAGCTTTCACAGGGAGTGGAGAGTTTCACGTGTGCGCCACACGCCGTGTCCACCGCACACTTCTGCGCAGTTAGACAATAACACTGTTTCTTACACGGTTTTTCTTTGAATTCTAGAAATATCATCCATGTTGTTGCCTATAATCTGTTGTTGCTTGCGAAACACCGTGGCTTAGACAAGAAGGTTATTTTCTGAGTCCACAAGAGAGTTCTCGCACAATGAACGGCATGTACACTTTTCGTTGATGTAATTATGGCGGGTCCGGAATCTGGAGTGCAAATCCTAATAGCTGAATCATTAATCTAAATCCACATGCGCAAGTTTCTACAAATCCAATATGAGTTTTTCCCGTCCCAAAGGACGTCTAATTTCGTCGCAAAAACACCTTTGGCTGCGCATAATGCATGTTTGTTGTTGCAAGGATCCCGCAAAAGTGTGGCCAGCTTTCTGCTGTGCCGACGTTCGTGGTGGGAAACCCCACGTTGAAAGATAAGCGGTTTCCCCCGGTCGGTTGCCTGATGAGATCGGTAATTGGTTGGGTGATAAATGATTGTGGTGCGGGGCGGACCTCGGTGAAGGACTGCCAAAGTATGGAAGTTTTCCTCGCGCGTGACTGAATCATGGCCATTGAGCTTACATGACATCCTGTAATGTGATAAGGCCTTATACAACAGGGACGTGATTAAGGGTTAAAAGAGGGTTCGATTCGAACTGGAAACTCGATCATCTATAATTGTTTTGCAACTTGTAACTTAACAGAATTCACATAACATGAAAAGTTCAAATGACTGCATTAGGACAAAGGTAATACACGTACAAGACTCAAGTAGGGTTCAATATGAAACCCCAAAACTTAAGTAAGAGTGTCTGATCAGCGCTTCTTAAAAACGCTATTGAAAGGACATTGTTTACTGGCTTGAATTTTTCTTTTACGAAGCTCGACAGATCTTGAAAACAAATCGAAAACAGGAGGAATTCTTCCCAGTTTAATCAAGTGACTATGACCACTGGACCTCAGTTGTCTCTTGAATTAGTCGGTACCTTTTAGTCTGGAATCCAGACTACACAAGCCACACTTTAACTATGGGTGCGCAGAACAATAATATCAAAATTTTCTATTTTTAAATTGCTGACGTGGCCAGATAGTCATCCGCCATAGCGACATGCGCGGTGGCCCGTCTACAGTACGCTTCCGTCCGCAGCAAGCTACCCGGGTATGAAACCTTGTGAATGAATTTGTTTTTGTAGCCCGCCATCACCTCTTTGATGCTTCAGCTCGTATATCGTAATTCAGATTCAGCAGTACTCGAGGGACTCCTTTTGGTGGGTTCCAGTCGTGACCGGACACATTCCCGTACTTAACCTCTGAAAAATCGCCACTTGACCACTCGTGGTAAAACCTCACAGAAAACACTCTTCGGTCAGACAAGAGCACAGCACTCCATTCTACGTGGAGAACTTTACTGCAGTAAATTCCAGCGTTTTGAGTGACACTTGTCAGAGTGCTTGAACAAGATTATTGGATGTTGGAGTAACAGGGCTGCGTCCTGAAATGCTGCCAACGCACGGTAGTAGTACCTGCCCATTCCAGACGGCTGAAGACGTTTGCAGGTGCGGCTTGAGCTCAGCGCTGACCTGTCAGCAGCGTAGTTAACGGGGAAAGGGCCTAGAAATCTGGTAATGAGCATGATATGATGTTCAAGCTGCAGTTATATGGTTTTTCGATGCCCCTTAAAAATGTGTGCCCCCTCCATGGCCCCCTCCCCCAAATTTTCCAAGTCACACCAATGTGATGATTTCCTGCTTTGTTGCCGGGGTTCAGAACAATCATACATGATAATATGTCACAGTTATATTTTTATAAACAGTGACCACACTACCAATGTTTTGAAGGAACGTGCGTCAGGCAACCAAGGCTCGCTATTAAAGCCTCATTGTTGCCTGCTCACCTTTTTTCGGACCGAGAGGGCCCCAAATTCCTGCAATATCGGTCACGCGAGCTAGCCGTGATCCTATTATCGGGTTGTGACGAGAAGGTTCTTTCAAAATGCCAATTTATCATCATTTAGCGCTCGGCACGACATACACGACAAACGAATCGCAAGCCGCAAAAGGGGATTCATTTTTAAGGAATAAAGAAGATTGTATTGGGAAGGTCGGGTCAGCAAAACCATCAAGGATTTTTCATCAGTTCTGCTGTTCATGACGCTCGTTATCTGAATTTCACGACGGTAGGGCTTTCCAAATCAATTACGCAAAAATTTGACTGGCATTCTAATCGCATATTTGGCTCCGTGACGTCACGTTCCGTCATTTTTCTAAGCTTGAAGTAGAGTTAGTACGTGTACTTTACATGCCAGTACATTTTTGTGTAGACTAATGGGTCATGCATCGAAAAGTACTTGAATAACTTAACAGCAATGTCTGCCCACGTGAGAGTATTACAGGAATCATAGACACAATTTCAATATGAGAATGTCAAATCCTTTTTCATGTGAAGTTTTCACTCCAAGACATTTTTTAAAATAAGAATTACTCTGAATACAGTGCTTAAATTGAACAGATGTCTAGATCAGCTGTGCTGTGATGGCACAATTTTATTAGTATTCTTAAGAGGATGTTTCGTGCCTATTCAGTGCACACATTTCAAAGACGTGTGAAATATTTGACGCCCCTCGAAAACCAAGGCGAAACCTTAAAAAACAGCAAGTATGGCGCAAGGAAGATTTGAGTCGGCTTTCTCTTGATTGGATTATTCGTTGGTGTGTCTCGAACTCTCGATTCCTTACTCTTGTGTTACAACACGCCCAGTAAACGAGACAAACACTTCACTGGATTATCCTCCTACTCGACAATTCGACCGACAGGGACGCGCTTCGTTACAGATTTTAGTTTCATTTAGTTAAGCGCTGAGCTCCATATATAGGCCGGTCCACGTTATTACCACGCTCAATTCCTCGATGGGCCCCATTCAAAGGTCTAAAGGTTTGTGTCCTTTTGATACTAATAAGGAACGAATGTTTGTTTTCTTAAAGTCACACGTTTGTCAAAAAGCTAGATGAGTCTTAGGGCTTGCTCTAAAGCAAGCCCCGAGGTCATGGGTTCGAGGCATTCACAACCTCGCACCCCGAAATTGACAAAGATTCTTACAAGGGTACTTCGGAAGTTGGGATTATCTGGGGCCGAGCGATGGGCACTCGAAGGGTTCCTGAAGTGTTTTGTGTTGGAGACAAGTGTGTGTAACTTCCAGCGGTTTGGGTAAACAAGCTTGATGGCTTCAAAGAAATTTAACTCTGTAATTGCAATTAGATCACTGTCAGGAATCCCACAGGAATGCCATCCCTTTGTTCCCTGCTATCCTTTGTCCGCCACCCTCACCCGCACGCACCAAGTTCGGTTTTAGTTAGAAACCGCGTCGAACCAGCCAATTTGAAGTATGGTGCGCACAATAGGATGGCGCTATTTGAAGTTGGCAAATTTAGGGTGATCAAAAAAGATTTATCCAAACCAAATAGCCCCTCCTCGTGTGCCCGCCATACTTGAAGTAGGCCTGTTCTGATGAACAAAGGCGGCGTTTGGAGAAAAGGGTACAGTTGGGTTCCTTGATAGATTAAAATGATTTTTGAATTCTGTCATAAGTCAAACTCCAAACTCTTTGCTGTCTCGGCCCAATCTCGCCCCATCCTTCCGATAATCGTATTACCGTGACAGCTCAATTGTCACGCCAAATTCGAATTTAAATTCACATGATGCTGGGCAACAGTGTTATAATGTCTATCCAGTAAAAACTCCTGAAGTGTCAAAGAAAGGGATATCCTCGCTCTAAACACTCACAGATGTCCTTTTTGTTCCTTCTCTATATTTCAGCAATGACTGTGCGATTTGTTACGAGGAGGTTTATCTATGAGTACGACCCAACACTCGGTAAGTCTGCTATAAACTGGTAAAGAAATTTTATCTAGTCAGCGGACTTACAACTGTTGTTCTATAGTCTATAGACTAGAACTAGAATTACAAGAACTAGAAATGCACACTGCTTGGTAAATAGATTCCCATGGAGAGTATTTCGCTCATTATGATAACAAGGCGTTTAGTGATAAAAGTGTCTTATTTGGCTGACTTTTCATTAATGAGGGCTAACTGACTTTCATTAGTGATCGCAATGCATGGTTTAGGAAACTTGGAAGATATTTCATGAAAAAACTCGGTTCAAAAGCAAGCGATGGCATTCACGACGTATGCAAAACTCGATGCAATTGTCGTGATGGTTGTTATAGTGTAGGAGATGTACTGCGGTGCGCCCTCTGATGACCTGATCTCAAGAGTGGTTTTATGTAGAGGAATTTACTAAGTTATCCCTTTTGTTCTTTAGCATCAAGAAGGGAGCGAACAAAATTATCGTGTTGCCATCTTCATCTCCCATGATGTCTTGATTGCGAGATTTCCGAGTCACGGGGCCTCAATATTACCCTGAAATTGACCCGCACGATAAGCTTGGACATATTTAAAGAGCATTCCGACATCATTGCGGCAGCCCGTCCAGGATAAATTTCTCTTTCGAAGCGTCCTCGGCTTTGCTCTTGAGCACGTCAAGTTGCAATCCAACACGTTGTTGGGCAAGGTCTTCTGGCATTCCTTTGTTCCTAACTTCTTCGCCTCTGGTTACAAGGTTGATAAATGCCAAAACCTCCTGAGAATTTATGAAAGAAGTCTACTGTCGTGTAATCGGGGTCGGTCTATCCAATCGGAAGTCCTGGACTCTTTTCATTGATAATGTGGTTTAACGTTCCCAAAGGTCAAGTTTGTTCTTAATTATGTTTTTTATCGTCTAGAGTAATTTTCTGTAGAAGGCGTTCGTTGAGAGATTCCCCTGTAGGCTCCATATCAATACCGATTTTCAACTCTCCTCGAAGGACAGTCGGGGACCGGACTCATCAAAATCAAGAACCAACTCACGAATAAAACTTACCGCTGCGACAGGACCCAATTAAATCCCGTTATAGAATGTTTCAAAAGGATTACCATTTATCTTACAAAAGCTTTTTTGTAAACGTTTTGTTGTGCACCGTCCCACGCACAACACAAGGACGTCCATCACAAACAATCACTGTCCTGTGATCAACAACGAAAAGTGCCCGTGACGATCAGTTTATTTTTATTTCAAGGTTCCATGCACTGTAGTGCACATGTACATGTACATGTATGTTTCTATCCTGAGAGAGACTCTCCTTTGTTAGCTAACTGTGCATTTTTACAATTGTGGCTGGTGACTTGTGTTTAGTCTATGTACACATATGGGGAAATTTCATTCAGTTTTATATTGAACAGTTAGGAAAAGGGTGCAGTTGCTAAAATTGCCAGCGACTCGTGAGTTAGGAGTTCAGGATGTCCAGTCTGAGCCGAAATAGGTTGTCAGTGTAGAGTCGATTTTGAGACTCAGAAATTGGGAATCGAAACATGCTGGGGTCCGTCTCGAATATTTTTTCCTGGTTCCGAATCTTGCAGCCGTGGAATTTATAGCGCGACTGAAACAGACTGTTATACTCGTGCCTGTATCGGAGTGATCTCGGTTTTTAAGGTGCAACGCCTGAACGGACCATTCTTAATGCAGGCAAGGTGCATGCATTCTTGTATCGGCTAAAGATACATGTAAATCGAACTTCTGGGGGCGCTGTCACACTGTACCCTGATGTATGAAAACGAGAAGAACCTCGTGAGCGCAGAGCTGAGTGTGATTCAAGTTGTTTTTTTTTTTACTTCGTGATTTCCAGAAACCATTTATAAACATCGGACATTCTTTGAAAATGAATCTGCACCTGTAGACTTCGAGATTCTTGACACAGCTGGACAGGTAGGTATATGTTTGTCAAACTATGACTTTAATTTAAAAAAAAAAACGAAGTCAATCAAGCACGACTGTGAGATTAAGAAAGAAGTTGTGGAAAGGTTGCAGTATGAGGTTAGGAGCGTATAGCCGGGGGCACGGGTACGGACCAGGGGAGTGAGCCTCCTGCCTCGCTGTACGTCTTTCCCCTTGGCACCTGTAATTGAAGAAAACAGACCTTGGTAATGAATGATCAAAGTGAGTTTCCCTCCAGAAAATACGGACTCGGCTCCTTATCCTGCGAACAGTATATTATTTATGCCCTTGATCCCACTAAAAAATATTTAGCTAGCACACTTCATAATTAGCGTTCAGTAATCAAATTAATCTTTTGATTTCCACAGGGATTAATCAGTGAAATAGAAGAAAGACGTTTCACTGATATCTTTAGTTTTGTGATCTTTCCTTAACAGGAAGAAAAGATAGAAGAAAAACTAAAATGGGCAGATGCCTTCATCATCGCATACTCCATCAATGACAGATGCAGCTTTGAGGAGGTGGCCAGGCTCAAGTTCCTGGCAGGGAGATGTAAGAAGTCCAGCTCCCATGAGCAAGCTATCCTGATAGTAGGCAACAAGAAGGACCTGGAGTACGACCGCTTGGTCCAGCGGGAGGAAGGACTGGAGCTGGCCCGCTCCATGAACTGCTCCTTCGTGGAAGTGTCGGCGCGGGAGTCCTACGAGGACGTGGTGGGCGCCTTCGAGAGGCTGTACATGGACCACAAGAACCGCAAACGGACCAGCAGCAACTCGCCCAAGTTCACGCTCCGGCGGAAAACAAGTGTCGGGACCAAACAGGACCTAGACTCCAACCCGCCCAGGCCCCGGGCACGCAGCACCAGCTTCGCTCTGACCACTCCGGTGTACACGCGGAGAATGGCCCTCGCAGGGTTTGACGGGGGCAGCAGTAGTCCCGTGGGGAGTGATTCCTGCGATACCATAGATGAATGAGATTTACCCGGCCCGGACCCCCCCCATAAGCGGTGGTGTAAAGGTCGAGTGTATGTGCAATCAGGACGTCACGATAATCGTTTTCATATATGCAACTATGTTTTATGAAGAATTGTAGCTGGCATGGCCCTAGGGCGAGTTAGCGTACATGGAACTGTTGCACTGAAATTATAAAAGTTGAGGATGATATCCGCCTTAAGTAGAAGCACCCCCTCATTGGTTGAAAATAGCCATATTCGTCCGGAGTGCTCATATTGCTGGTAGCGACGCGGCGTAACACGTGCTGTATACATTGTTGTTTATGAACCAGGGAACTGCAGTTCCGACCAAAGAAGCCGCTGTTCCCAGGAAAACTGCGCCTCTTTTGGTCCAGCTTTCGGCTCATAACGCTGGTTTGAATTTGATAATGGAACAAAATGACTCCCTCAAGCGTTGGCTTTTGGCCAGACTTTGGCCCGGTTCCTCAATAGCAGTTTACAAAAATGCCAAGTAAAGTGCCTCTGCTCTGAGCATGATACTGTACAGTTTTTTTACCGTCTTCGTTGAGAATTCGCGCTTTCCATATTTAATGATGCCTTTTTGAATTTAAGATACAGTAATTAACATTCCTTCCAATCTGCCTTAATGAAATTGGAGGAGTGAAAGAATGTTCAACGATGGCTGCTAGACATGCTGTTATAAATGAAGGGAAAAGCTTCCAAATCTTATTTACACTCAGGATACACTGTCCTGCAAATCATGACCTAATCAGGTTGAGTGGATTGCCTTACGCTATGCAGTCAGCTGTGTGCCTGTGCAGTTTATCTTCCTCTCATTTTCTGAATTTCGACAATGAGCGCCCTCTTGCGATGGCAGGACTGGGACTGAGAATGTAAATAAAATATGTAATTAGCAGATAAGTTTAATTATTTTGTCAGCACAAAATTGTGTGCCTGGAAAAGTTATGTAAATCTGACTCTTACACATTATGTACGTGACCATCATGCTTGTGTTGCATGCTTGCTTTGTAAACATTAAACTATAACTTTCCATTTGATTTGGTCAAAGCCGTTCTGATCGCAGTCTCTAGCATTCAAGTAAACAATAAGTTAATCTGTCACAGAAATTTCTGTGTGTTTTACATTTATATGGAAGTTTCTTTTGAAATCAATAAATCATTATGGTTATTGACGATATGCCATGCTGTTGGCCTTAAAACCTGCGTCTCTTGTTCTCAATATCCTTATATTTTTTTCTAAATTTTGTTTTAAATTAATTATCGCCATAATTTTCATTTACAGCTATCTTTCAAATGCATGCCTCAGTGAAAGTTTCTGGCCCTTTTTTTACTCCCTCTGTCTTCACTCTTTGCATTGCGTGAGTCAGGGGCACAGACAGAGAATTGATAAGAATATAATATAAAATATTCCAGTGCACAGAATTTTATATTATATTCTTGTCAATATTCTGATCACGGTGCTACGTAGCCCTTTCATATTGCACGGACAGAGAGTGGAGGATTAGGGGGCTCAAGTCATTTTAAAGCAGCATGTACTCTAAAGCCATTGACATGGGGTGCAAGACAGGAATTTGTTGGATTTGCCAGCAAAGCGAAGAACACACTTTACAATTTGACAGGCAACCGTCAGATTTTGAGAAGCGACCTCAGTGGAGACAGTAGAGATGAAGGACGCAGGACACAGTATTTAAAATAGAATGGGTGCGTTCGATTAGCTTCCCTGAATACACCAGTGTCATGCAAGGGAAGCCTCGAAATGAGGCTAGGCTAATCGAACGCTGCAGCGTATTTACCAAGGCATTCTGGGAAAAAGGCACGGACGTATATAAAAAAATCTGGACTCGCAATGCCCTTAATCAGCTTATAGAAATCATTGAATCCGCTCGCGGCCATTTTACCGAGCCGAATACAAAGCTTGCCCGGCAATGCCCACCTTTGTTCTCCCTAGTGTCAATAGAAGCGAGCCAACCCGCGCATTTGTCTTTGGTTCGGTAAAATGGCCGCTGGTTGGCTTCTATTTCATACAAAGTTATTGCAAGTCCAGGGTTTTTTTTATATTTACGTCCGTGGAAAAAGGTCAAGTCCCCGCCACGTTCCATCTCATGTCCATGCTCGAACAGTTCATCCGTGACGTCATTACGCTCGGGCAGCCTCCGGAGATATGCTCGCCAGCCAGGGTAGCGGTGGCTGCATGACACCAGGGCAGGCCTGAAGATCGTGATGGCTAAACGAACGCTCTCTTGTAAGTTTGACCCACACATGTAAGCTAATTGAACGCACCCAATGCAAACACCACAATGTCAGATACATTTGGAATATAGTGAACGGCGCCCCCAACGTCAGACGGTTGTAACTTCCACCTATCCCTTCCTCCAGCTTTAAAACTTACTCTTTAGCCTGACATATTTGAAACCCAACCTTTACAGAATTTGTAGCCATACTTGTCATGTATTGTGTATATATTTATTGATACCTGTAACTGGCGCACTTCATACGATTGTCAGTGACTGAAGTTAACTAAGGAATTTGTCAACAATATCAGACTTTTGGGCACCTCTTTTAGGAACCCATAAAGCCTTTGATTTCGGATCCCCACCCCCCCCCTCAAAAAAGGAGAAGAAATTGAGGTGACGTCAGAAGACATGCGACATCGATCCCTCAAACCAACACAGCACTAATACTCAATGCATAACCCTGGTTCATATTTAGCACTGGAACTTTTGTTGGCGTAGTAGATACCCGAGGGTCATACATTTTGAAACCGGCCATTGCACACTGAAAAATTAAATGCCAACAAGTGTTGTACATATTTTAGCTAAGACTGTTATAAGTAGGAAAAGCCACATTGATCCACTGCTTCCCGCATTCTAAATGTCATCGCGCAGCACGACTATTGTTCAGCATTGCTAGGACTTTAATCTGTGGATTTTTTGTAAAATGCTACCACAAGATGGCGCCCTAATAGCCGACACAATCAAGTCTTTTCGTTGATGCCTTCGATTTTGAGCACAGCAAACGTTTAATAATGCACAAAGTAATCAATTTATGAATCACACGAACTTCAATGATGTCTAATGCCATCCTCAATTAACACTGAAAAAGATCCAGAAGGGCGTTTGAAAGATGACTTTTGTTCATTCTTACACAATTGCTGTTGTAACTAAAAAGGGACGACCTCAGGACCAAGTGTGGTGGTGAAGCACCGACTGTCATGAACAAGGTACAATGTAATTCGAAAGTTGCCTTACTTTGTCAATATATGAACACTGTGAAGTTACAAGAAGGCCCATCCCCAAGGTCTCAAGCAACATTAACTTTGTGTGGCGCCACCCATTGCCCTGTTTTGGTTAATAAGTGAAGTCCTTTTTAGCAAGAATTTTTGTGTAAGTTGATTACAAATTCTTTCCGACTGTTTTTCCTACACACTGTCGAAAAATATGAATTGGTCAAAACGTTTTACCTTTAGAAATACACATTGAAGACGCAAAATGATAACAGGACAAAGTTATCAGCATTCAAGATAGTCAACATCCAACATGCATACTGACATTTCGCAACATGTGCACCAGAAACGAAAACTGTACTTAAAGACCTTTCCACTTAAATAGGTTTGTATTAGCACACTTTTACTTTACATTATACAATCACTGTGACCATGGGCGTCGTCGGGCTTTTTACCGGGAGCCAGACATTTTCCAGAGGAGAGGCATGGGCGTCAATCGGTGGGCGACGGGGGACACCCGCCCACACACACTTCTCAAAGTGGGGGTATCATATTGTTTGCCGCCCCCCTATACACACACACTTTTCTTCCTGACCCAAAATAAAAGTGTAGGGGAGTAGGCCTATAGATTCATATTACAGGTTATCTTTCCTCTTACAGGGGACACGGGAATGAGAAACAAAAAAGTTGCAAACTTACATAAAAAAATTTCAAGATAAAATTATTTTAAAAGTGAACCAAATCTTGCAAAAGCGTTTGCTTATGAAATAGCTAAAGTGGTCAGAAATTGCCCGAGATCGCACCACAGAGCACAGAGCATCTAGAACCCCATATTTTCCAGCGCCCTCAAGCGGGCCCCGGACCCCACGCCGCCGAAGACTTCGCGCCCGCATAAGTTCTGATCAAGGTTATGCCCCCACCCACAAACACTTTTGAAAAGCGATTGACGCCCATGAAAAGAAGTTTGTTTCCGAGGTGTTTTATTTTCACCCCCTTTCCTTCTTTTTGATTTATCTTGCTGGCAGTGGCGTAACTACGTAGAGTGATGCCGGTGCCAAGGGGTGCCCCCCCGGACATTTCCCCCAGTTACGTCACTGCTTACTTGTTTCCCTTCCTCCTTTAAATTTTTATTTACATGTATAACTTTTGGGGGAGAAGGAAAGCAACCTCTTGCTCCCCTACCTTGGCGACGCCCATGATCGCTACCCTACCAAGAGTTGACATTGTAATTATTGCCGCTGCTGCACTTTCCTGATTTCCCTAGATATCCCGGTAAATTACCGATTATTATTCTCCTGAAATGGACGGACCTGACCTGTAGAGGTGCCTTCCACTTTACCAGCCTGTCAGCTTGTGAGCTCGGGTCAGGGATAAATGTAGATCGCCACTTATGAAATCGCCTGGAATTATAGACTGACGCCTCTAAGGTTTATCTTTAATTAGGGCACCTTCCTTCTGCAGCAGATCTTGCCTGACTCAGTGAGGCTCCATACTCACTTATAACGTCATCGTCTTTTTGTCCCGAGTATGGCCGAACATTCTGCCGAAGAGTGTCGATCGCGTACCGAATTTGTACATTTTGATCTCTCGGTATAGTTCGTGGAAGACATCGGCTATCTTATCGTAACTTTCCGAAGCAGAAAGCTCGACGAACGAGCAACCCATGTCTTTGGATAGTCTTTCACCTGTGAATGAAAGAGAAATGTGGAAATAGAAAAAGTGTAAAAATTAACTTAATTAACATAACAGACGTATGAAGAAGCCATACTTTAGTTCAACTATTGAAGAATCGAGAGATTGCTTTATTTAGCATGTACATGTATATTTATGTACGGTAAGTTTTTCTGGTATTGGCAAGTATAGGCCTATTACTTTCTTCTCCTCTTCAAAAAGTGTACCTTCAGCAATTTTTTTTACTCTTTCTCTTCTCTACCTATCCTTGTCACAAGTTTAATGGAATGGATGTAAAATCCAAATTAACCTTAAAAGGCAAAAAAGGAAAACTGAACATGCACAAACGGAATCCATGTGGAGACCTTGAAATAGCAGGCAAATAGCGCGTGCCTTTGTGAATAGCCAGCTATGGTGTATGTCAACATGACACTCGAGTCCAAGAACATCCGTCCACGGCCGACAGATTGTAAGAATATCTCGCCCCAAGCGACGAATATTATGTATTCTGCACCGCGTCAATAAAATATCATGTTATTATCCGGCCATGGACGGCTGTTTGGTGTATCGTAATTTCAATATAGTTGCGACCGGTTAACGCACGAGGTCAGGTGAAGCCAAATTCTTCTATTTTTGTTTCCATCGGAAATCAAGGATGCATTCATTTGAAAAAGCGTTCAACACCCCCAACCTTGGTCTAGAACAGCATGGTCATAAAACAGCCGTAGAAAGCCACGTCCGGAGCACACATTTAGATATCACAATCACAGTCACCTCTATAGAAGCATGGTTATTTGGAAAGGACGGGTCTAAAAATAGCCCATAGTTTCGATGTAGGCCAAATTTAGAATTCAGGCATCAACCAGGATATTTTCTCTGTTGTTTGTCACAACTGGCTCGAATCTTCTTTTGTTTAGGAGGAAGATGTTAAGAGACCAGTTCCTTGAAAATCGATTAGTGAATTGTCTTTGAACTTGGTTTCTTAAAGATAGTTGTGACGGGGCTTTCGTGGTTGAGCTGGACACGGATGTAGCGTGTTGAATATCAGTTCATCTTACGGTTGAATAAAGGACGCAGGTACCGGTTATTTCTCCCCCGTATATGTGAAAACCCGTACTTGCGGATCAACTATACGGGTAACTCGTACGTATTACAAATTTAAACCTGTACGTGCGAGGATTCAAACTCTAACGTGTTCCTGTAACCTTTAGGTGGTACAAATGTACTTTGAAGTTATATAAGAAGCACGGCTAAAACTTCTACGTCTATCTCAGAACTCGCCTTACATATGTATGGGTTATAATTGTGTGTATACGAGTTTTGAGTACATTGAAGTGCATTGTAAAATCCTGATTAAACTCACTCCAAAAGTCATCCGTCATTCGTTGGGTATAAGGCACACACGTACGGCTTATAACCTACGCGTACCAGCAACCAGAAAAGAGAAAGTAAAGATTTCGAAGATAACGCTGTCCATGCATAGCTTCTTGTATAAGCCAAGTGTGAAGTGTGAACATATCTATTTCCCTGCCTTTCAACGTGCGGTGCAAACAGGTGAAGCAAAGAGCTTTCTCTGAACTGAGTTCGATATTGAGTTACCTTCCGTCAGGCGCGCAAACATTCTTCCTGACATCGTTTTGCTATGTCTACTCCTTCAGTTCAGAGTAACCTCCATTCCATTGACGCGGGAATAAATTCCCCCGTGCCAATTCACTCGCCATTTCTGTTCACAGCCGGGCTAATTCGATGATTTCCAAGATGGAAGATTTGATCTTTTATATGCATTGACAAAAACCGAATTAATATTGCACGGAATCGGTCAACCCTCACCTGGAATTCTGCAGTATTTGTTTTGATTATTCGAAATTGCGTCTACAAAATTAGCGACACTGCAGAGAAATTGGCTTTTTGTAAGTATATTAAGCTTTCTTCTCACAATGCCAAATACACTACTGCTAAAACTGCCGTGGTAAATTCGAAACTGTGGTGCGCGTGCTTCGCGCATTCTTCCATCTGCTGCTATGCCATGAATTCTGCACCGCGTCAAAATAAATTTCATAATTTTGTTTATATGTAAACGAAAGGAAGCAGTGTTTACTCCCTGGAAGCAGTATTTACTTTTCCAACTGATTTATGCCTTCCACTTGAAATCGTTATTGCCTCTCTAATATCGAAGAGTTCCTTGATTCTCTCTTGACATTTTTTGGCCACAGTGTGTGTTTATTTAAATACATGCATATGTATAGGGCCAAGCTGCGCAACCACTCCAGGCAGCCATATTATGTTTAGGCCTATTTAAGCTATTGCTGAAGCGATGGTTTGGTCATTCAAAAGTGGCTTAACCCTAAAACAAATTCCCATCCCCCCCATCGGGAAAAGTTTGTGCTCTCTTCATCAGAGACGAAACGAACTATTCGTTGAATATCTCTTGCCTTCCGTGGTATCAACCTTGCGTAGATGTAGCAGGTCTGCCTTATTGGCAACCACCGTGAACGCCACCGGCACCGCCTTGGAATTTCGGCTTTCTTCCAGGGTGTTCCTCGCCCGTCGGATGGCCTCGATACTCCTTAAGTCGGTGATGGAGTAAACGAGGAGCAGGCCATCTGCCCACTGTAAGACATCTTCGGTCAGGACATTCTGAGAAGACAAGTGGAAAACTGGAAAAGCTAATCCTGGTTAAAACCATGCGTTGTTTGTGCTGCTAAGTTCGAACAGCGAGTTAATTGGCGCTGTACTTAAACAAACTGGGGTATTATAATGAATTGCCGCACCAAACCACACACAAAATAAATAAAAAACAAAAAATGAAACCAAAAGAGCAAAGACAACAAGAGGATAGTTTGCCATATCTTGTTCGTCAGTTGCAATTCATTAAAGAAAGTGCGAGGCCGCAGAAGTTTGTAACAACGAGGAATGACACCACGCAAGCGTTAATCTTGTTTCACTCACGCATGCGCCTGCCATTTCTCCCCACAGGAAAACAGACCCTGAGCTCTAAATGTGTTGATAAATGATGTGCTATTGACTACAAATTTTATATGAGGCAAACTTATGAAGAGTCGCCTACCTCGTGTCCAGTGTCCAGAATTTCCATCAGCACTATGTCTCCGTCTATCTTACATTGGTGGTGGTACTTCGTTTCTGATGGGGTAATACAGAAAGCACAGGATTGGACAGATGTTTTTCGTAGACCACGGACACTAATCGTTGGACTGGTTATAACAAATGACTGGCCATCAATGTCTCTCCGCCATCTTAGAGTTATCTTACCCCATCTGTATTTACAATCAGCCTATCTGCAGTTACCTCCTTATCTGTGTACCAGATGCTTCGACAAATTGATATCATGACATATGCACGTAACACGTTACTTGGATTATTGAGAGTGCACCCAATCGGGAATTTCAAAAAAACAAGACCGCAGGGGCCATTATCTGATGCATTACCTGTGCTGCTGCTAAAATGTTAAATTTTGTAACGCATTCAAATAAATAGCGATCACAAGATATGTTGCCCTTACTGAGGCGCGATAGCCGAGGCTTGGTTTATGAAGTTCCGAAGACACTGATAAGATAACAATCAATTTAGGAATATATTTTAACAGTATTTTGCCATCTTTTATTCATCATGCCCATTCTGAATTCATTATCTATATCCACCGTCCGAATGTTGAATTTATAATTGATTACTGCTGTCATCCTTATTTTGGTGCCCCGATTTGGCTCCCAAAATTCTCCATCCCGTTGCACTTTGCCCAGCAGCTCCTCCGTCTGCAATACCGAAGCGATCTCGCTACACTTGCCCCCCTCCCCCAATTTCTCTGCGATGACTCGCACCTCGAACACGCCTAACAACTAGCCTCTCCCTTGCATCCAGAACATAGAAACATTGCCCGAAGTGTGAATCTTGATCCATCTACGAAATGCGACAGCCGAAAAAGAGCTGTTTCAGTCACTGATGTAATAAACAGATTCGCCTGAAAAGGCACAACGGTGAATATTGTTGAATAATTCAGTGTACGTGTATTTATATCAGTAGTGAGTAATTCTCAAGTGAGGACTGGAAAGGGTTGATTTGACAGTTTATTGTAACCAACAGTAACCATGTAGCTTTTATGATGCACGGCTGAAATGGTTAGGCACTTCTTATTTCGAAAGATCTGTGAAAACGTTCAAGAACGCCAGTCTCACTCTCATAAAATACCAACAGAATGGTATGCTGTCAATACCTGGTTCGTGTCCGTATTCACCGATGAAGCGCTTGGTCAGAAATCGCACCGTGACAGCTGCGGGAGAAACGACAGACAGAGAGAATTAATCACAAATCGTGACCATCTGCCTTCACCAATCATGACAAAGGTACATGTGTGCTCACAAATCACCTGGGTACGTGTGTCCTCGTCCTCTTTCGAGGGTCGTAGAATCCAGGGGTGTGTGTGTGGGGGGGGGAGGAGACACCACCCAGTTTGTGACCGGGAGGTGGACGGTGGGTCCTTCTTCCCATGATTTCGTCTCGATGTTGGATGTGAGGGAAAGTTTTATTCATCATTGTGTTGCAAGATTCGGAGTCGCCTATTGGCGCTCGAAGGTTTTGGGGTAATTTTGGCTTGAGTAATTGGACTTTGATAATCGACACTAATTACATTGGAAAACAGTTCGTGTCCCGAACTCAGGCGTCTCATAGCCGGAAAGCTTGACCTAACAACTCAATTATAATCTAGCAGTAACTTCATTAGCGCTGGTCTTTGTCAGGAATTGAAGTTGAGCTACATATAGGTCAGATATGGGGACAAAGGGAAGATTCGACTTTTGGCTTGGCAGAAATGATATTAGTTGACTTGTGTATTTTTCAGTTTCTCTTCTTTTTGCCATTCAAGTTGCATTCTCGTCTGTGTAAAGCTGTCGCATTTGTAGTTTACTTGCTACGGAGAATCTGATGTAGTGTTACATCGCTGTGTGCGGAAACACGAGATGGATAGCTGGAAAATGATTGTGTGTTAAGCTTGGTGGCATTAAGGACCAACAACGAAAAACATGAGGGTCTTTGATTTGTTGACGGGAAGATCTGAGCCCGTGTGAATAGACTTCTTCCATGCTGTCTACTACATTTGCAGAGACAGTTTTGGTTGGGGTCATGTATTACTTGAAAAATGCGCATTTACCCATTTTATCGGGGTGGGTGGGTCGTGCTTTCATTTAGTACTGCTATTTCCTCTTGTAGTTTTTTGCAGTTGGGTGTGATAGTTTTAACGGTTATCATAACTCTTTTTTTTGTACTGACGGCCAGCCATAGTTCAGAGCCGCTAGTGGAGAATACGACTGTGACGTATAGTTAGAGCCAAAAATGTTAAAGAATCTCCACCCTATGTGTGGCTCCTCTGACTCCAACACTGCCCCCCCCAACTACAGGCCCTATTGTCATGAAAGCACGGGAACGCAGAAGTGTCGATTCTTACTAATGCCGTTAGCTATGAGATGAATTCAGTCCATTGTTGACTACAAAAGCTTTACAACTGGCCATGATTGCGCGCTTAGGCGCACCCTTTCTGTTAACCTGCAGGATGGGCGTGCACGGTTCGCTTCACTATGTACATGTACATCGAAAGAGAAACGTGCACTCGCTTCTACAGAGTTTGGTGAGCATTGTTAGCTTACAGGACCGAATACTGGTATAGTTTACACATATAGTACATGCGCAAGAAAGTGCCACAGCAACGGGAATATCTTGGATTAAAACTTATTAAATGCCATCCACGTGATTGTTACGGGATTGGGGATTTTAACACCAACCACGAAGACGTTTGACCACTGGGGCTTGTCCGTGATGGAGGCACATTTTCATTGCCAATCAATGGAGACCACGTGACGGCCCTTGAAATATCTCACCACAGGAAATTACATGTCGTTTGGAAAATACACGACTTCGGGACGTCGCTTCAGAAGTGCTGATGGGTAAGTTTCCCGAGATTAATCTATTCTGTATGAGGAGAAAAGTCTTGGTTTTATTTCTGTGGACCAATAATTAAAGAAACACTTGTCTGTCTTTACGGTTGTTGTAACATAACACAGAATACGGCTAAGTTGTATTGTATCACTTTAAAAATCTATTGTTGCCACTGAATGTCAAACAAAAAAAATCGGCGAATGCAACTGCAATGATCCAGATTAAAAATGACAAATGAAAATAAATAAGTTATTAAACGTCAAATTGTTTCGAAACATACTCATTCTACAAACGACTGCAATTTTCGAGTGAAATGTTACAGGAAATTGTTTGCAAGCACTATTCACAACAAAGTCATTGAATTCTTAAAAGTGTCTCAGTTGTCATGACAGGCATTACATGTATGATTTAAATGTCATGGCAATGTTGACATGTTTCCACGAGGCAAGTCTCATGCTGAGAGTCCATCGCGCAGACAGAAAATAACCGACTGATATTTTTGGCAAACGCATGCACTTCAGTTATTAATGTGAGATACATGCGATGTGCGCAACTTAGCATGGGACCTCGTGTAATGATTCGGAAGACCTCGCAACAACATTGACTGTTTAAAGTACCCTGAATTCTTCTACGCGATCAAATTAGTCTTCGCTGGCTCATTTGAGCAGGTACAAACGTCGGTGCGTGAGCGAGGGGCTGTAAAACGTGCCTGGAAGTATACCAACATTTCTGTTTTGATTTGATCGGAAGGTGACGTCGTGATGGATGCGCCTCAGATCAGAGACAAGAACCTCAATTGCGATTGTGTGGCTTATAAATCTTCAAACATTCCTCGAGCTTGAAATAGTTGGCTTTATAGCTTCATACGGTTGAGAAAATTCCAAGCATTTCAAAACTGAACATCAAAGCAAATTGTGCGTGCCGCGTCCGATGATAAAACTGTTTTTGAGTCCTTGCAGCATTGGCATTAGTGGTCGCATTATGTTTGACAGCTTAATAACGCTACCAACTTATTAATATCCATGTGCCATTTTGCAGGTGAGGCAAAAGAAATTTATCCATCCGACCTTTGTTAGTCCATTTTTTTATGTACGCTGCAACTGGAAATTTGAATTTTAATGTTCTCAAAGAGTTGAAACCCAACACCACAATTTCAAAGGTGCAGCAGTCAGCCCTCAACACATTTGTCAACTCGTTTAAAGTGTTGGAATTCGTAACGACCTCGAAAACCGTTGATTTAACCATTAAAAGTGTCGTCACTCGCTGAACTCGCTGAAGACGAGTGTTTATTTTTTAAAAAAATGAAAGACCGTGGCCTCACTGTTGACAGGACCGTCGCGTCGTGTGCCCGCGCCGCCTTAATGCAATGCTCATCATCGTCATGATGCTCACTGTGACGTCACAACGGCTGGAACGTTCAAAAGAATCATATCACCATTTCCCAAGAAGGGAAGCACCGTGTCACTTGTACAGATAATAAAAGATACATGCACAGGAAAACTCGTGCAGTTATTTAGAAATTGTCCACGCATGGCTTTACAAACTTCTGGTGGAATCGAGAATGTTACAAGTTGATTTCTTGCGGTTGTCACTGAAACCTTTCAAATTACGTTCAAAAAGTTTCTCCACTCTCGTAAAAAAAAACGAGGCTGGCCGCCTGACCCAACCAGATGTAAGTATTGTCCACTCTATTGAATCTGCAACACAAGAAAGAAGTAAGAAGTTACAAGAAGTTTCACGGGGTTAGCTGTCGGCAAGGCATCCCTCGAGTGCTGTTTCCTGGTACGGCCTCATCAACCATCATCTGGCCTCCCACGTGCCACTTTGGGGACTCGTTGCCCACTCACCTGATTCAGCCTTCAATAAACTGTTCTTGAATCCGAACACATCTAATCAAGGGTGGACTGTCGTGACGCGCGCTGGTACCCATCCCTGACAACAAACGCCTACTTCGTCATAAATAATGCACGAGGATCTGCGTGAACTCCGGCCAACCCTCATCGAAATGCATGGGATTTACTGGGAACACCGCCCACCAGCCTTCCCACGGGGAATCGTCTCTGGGATTACAGACAGAGACGAACGTGTGAAATTGTGTGGGACAGAGATGACAACGAACATCGAAAACCCATCAGTTCGAACCGAGACCCAAGGGGCAGCCTGGCCATAATTTCACAGGAAGAACTCCCTACAGAGTGTGTGGGACCCTTCAAGCCGGTTATTAACGGCATCGCGGACCGATCAACCTAGGCTTGTTGTGGGGAAACAGAACCGAGGATAAAAGAGTCTAAAATTCGCATTGCTTCAAACATGCAGTTTCGGCCTGGTTTGGACATATGTACAAATTGACATGCTTGTACATGTACATGTATATATGTACATGTACACACACATAGGCTACAGCATTTTAATAATTGCAACAGCTTACAATGGTACATCAGCGATAGCATAGATCAAGGGGCGTACTCTAGCTTGTCAAACGAAATATATCTGAGCCAGGAAATCCGTGTCACAGTAAGCGACGCTATAAAATCCCAACGTCATCATAATAGAAACTGATTAGTTTATGAGGGAAAACAAACGTTCAACTTTGCGATGTTTACTAAACCGTTCCCTGCGAAAACAGTAGTTTGCTCTGCGTAATATCTCCGAACTTCTGCCATACAAGTTCAAAACCTAGTGCGATTTTTTACGTTGAAAATCCAAAAGCAAGGTGATTTTCCCGCGCTCATTCATGGGGATCGTATGCCAAAGGAGTAGGCTCGTACGGTACTCCTCCTGCCCTTTTGGCATAGTTTGTGTCTCAGTAAACACCGCTAGTTTCTAAATTGCCAGATGTCTTTATCTTTTTATTGTTTTTTCATTCGATTTCAGTTCACCTCACATAATTATCAGAAGGCCTATCACTTGGCACACTGTTACTGGAGATAAGGGATGAATCTTTTTTTTAAAAATGCTAAACTTACTCAATTCGTACCGTTGGACAAGTCATCATGTTTTTTAATTAAAATGTTCCCAACCATTCTCTCATTTTTGTAATAACACACCAGGGTAGCTCGGAGAGGCAAGCAAATCCTCCTATGAAGAGCATTTATGTACTTGAAAGAAATGGTATGGGCATTCCTGGTTTGCCCAGCATTTTAATTAAATCCCCCTGTCCTGCTGGATTTGCCCAGCATGAGTATACTGTGCGTTTTTACGAGCAGGATGTAGTGAACATTTTCTCAGAAGCCGTTTTTAAACATTTGTAACGAGAGTTTTAATGTAGCGGAGCACAAGTCAATGAGGTTGTCGGTGCAGCTGCCAGTGCAGCACTGTACGGTGACCTCAACGAGTAGCGCTGTTGCGAGAACAGCATCAGTAGCTGAAGCAACGGCATCATAATCATTGCGAGGAACAAAATGCCATCGCGAGAACAAACGGTACGGGCGCTGCTTTTGGCTGCAGGCGCAGAATTTGGCAATCTGCAGCAGTTGGCTCGTCATCCCCACCCTCATCACTGGGTGCTGGAACAGGTGAATAAACCTCACACAAAAGGGAGCCATCTTTTATCATGTCACCAGAATCTATCTTATTCGATGTAATCTGTTACATGGGGTGGCGCCAGACTATTCTGGATTCCATGTCTCACTTTCATCTTTGTTTAAAAGTGGCTTAATATATTCGTAAATTTTGAAAATATTCATCAACATATGATTTCAATTTGTAATTAACTTTTTATTCCGTTGCTTGAATTTTTATCCAAAAATAAAAAGTTAACCTCGCTTTCAGTTCAACATGACAACCTTGTGAGAAGAGCCAAATACTTCAGGATGCATGATATAATTTCCTCAAGCTCTGATTGGAATTCATTTGTGTGTGTGACGCATGCGCGCTGAATGCACTTGCTGGGATTTAGGCAGCGAGTAACCGACAATGCTTTGAAACGCCTGTCCTTCCCTCACAGAGTTTTGTGGGAAGCAGATTAACCCACAAGAATTGGAGATAACATCGATAACATAACGTCAGGCTCCCGCAACTATACTTGATGATAGTTTGCATAATTAAAACAAAATGTCAAATGTTTTCACACAGGTTTTGGGGCCCTAAATTGAAAAAGAAAGAAAAATGAAACAGATTGAACTGAAAATTTACCTTCAAATATTGTAACGATAATAATTGTAACAAAATAATACAGCTGTTTCTATACGCTCAGGTGAGTGTTAAAACAAAGCCTAAACTGCATCAATATATCGTGCGTTGCCACCGTGTTGACGAGGTGCTGGTTCAACGACCGTTTACCGTGCGCGCGCGCGAAGAACCAAGTCCGACCGACCGCCCGTGGAAGGAATTAAAACGAATTTAATTTTCACGCCCTACCCTCTGCCTCTAATTAATGTCGCTGCCTATCCCCTGCCCCCTTGTGAGATGACTGGGGAAGCTCATCAACTTGTCACTTCTCATCGGAATTTATCGCCATGTTCTCGTCACTAAGTACTCAAAAATCTTCCGTTAAACAGCGCAACCTTGCTGGTGTGTTTTAATTCTGTTATTCCGCTCTTTCTAGCTGCCGGTAAAGATGAGAAATTATGCGTTTTTTTCTCCTGTAAACCTTCTGTGTATAAGAAGAAATGCTGTGCAAGGGCGTCGATGGGTTCCCGTGACAGATACAGATCGTCGGATCTTCGCAGAACTTGCAATAATGAAGAGAGAAAATTAAATTCCCCCTTCCAGAAAGAGTGTTGTTTTTCTTTCTTTTGTTTGTTTGTTTGTTTGGTTTTGTTTGTATTTAAAATTTACTTGACATCATTTTTGATACTAATTAGTTTAGCCCGAGAAGCGCAATCAGTACTTAATGCACTGTTCTGCCTTATAAGGTACCGTCTTTCAGCGAGAGGAAACCAAAACGGAACGACGGTATTTTAAAGTGACCGTGCATCAGACTAGCCATGAAGTGCGCTCAATTGAAGATATCTCATTTCCAAAACTGTCTTAAAATATGGAACATCAATCATTCAAATCATTTTGA